CGGCCGTGAAAGCCTTCGCGAATACTCCTATTTGACTGCTAAACAAACTGCTGAACTGGCAGTTCATGTCCATCTCTAGTGGTTTGTGGTCCTTTTCATTTGCCTCTATTACACCTCCTCTAACCAGATTAAGGAAGAACTGGCAGTTCATGCCCATCTCTAGTGGTTTGTGGTCTTTTTCATTTGCCTCTGTTACACCTCCTCTAACCAGATTAAGGAGGCAGAAACCTCACACAGCAGGCTATGGTAGAAAAGCTTGTCCTCCTTTCTTCTCCCTGCAGTGTTCAATGGTAGAGTCCCATCTGTCAGACAGGTTGACAGTTCACATGGATGTTGCTGGAAACGTTATTGGCCTCTCCATTGTTACTGTGCCGAGCTTCTGCCATGGGGCCGAGGTTGAGGATGTAGACCTGGAACTCTTCAATACCACTGTCCTTCTCCAGCAGCCCATTCCGGCAGCAGTGTGAGTATCTCTGTGCTAGTAGATGGGGTTGGCAGCGAATTTAGATAGATCTCCCGGTGCAGCTTGTTGCCCAAGAGGGCAACTGGTTTTGATGATTTTTAGAGAGGAGTTGGACAAATTAATGGAGGGTGGATATTGTGGCCACGGATTATCACAGCTGTCTGTAGAGGTTTGAGTGTGTTAGTGAATCTGAGAGCAGTATAGTCAGAAGGTCAGGCTCCATTACAAGCCTTGATTCCTAGGAAGGTCACCCAAGGAAGAATGGTTGCAGCCGAGATGCCAAACTAAGATGCATCCACTTTCTGTCCAGTGGTGATTAGGCTAGTAGTGGTAGCGGAAGATGACACTCCAGCTAACTTTTGTTAGTATTGTGCAAAAGGTGGCAATGGTAAACCTTTACTTAACTTTCTTTACCACGGAAAACCCTATGATGAGACATAAATAAAACAAGAGATTCAAAATAAAACATGAGATTGTGTTGGAAGATGAGACTCCAAGGTTGGAAAGCACTCAGTCGGCTACTTCAGAAGAGGAAAGGACAACAGCAAATCCTTTGACTAGGTGGATCAAGAGAAACTATGGGTGGTTCTAAAAGAAATGGGTGTGTTTTAGCACTTGATTTTCCTGATGTATAACCTGTATTGTGGACAAAAAAAGCTAACGTTAGGACAGGATATGGAAGGAAATAATGTTTTGCTGTAGGCTAAGGTGCCAGACAAGGGTGCATTTTATCCCCTTATCTGTTCAATTCGTATGCAGACCATATCATACGGAAAGTCATGCTAGATTCAGGAGAAGGAAGAATGAAAGTTGATGGAAGAAACATCATTAATCCAAGAGATGCAGATGACACTGTCTTGCTGGCAGAAAGCATCAATGACTTTAAATGACTTCTGAAAGTGAAAGGAGAAAGTGATGAAGCAGGGTTGAAGCTGAAGATAAAAATCATGGCTACAGAAGAACTACACAACTTTGATGTTGGCAATTAAGAAGTTCAAATTGTTAAAAAAAATTATACCTTGGTTTAATCAAATGGAGACTACAGACAAAAAAATCAGGCTGAGATTCAGAAAGGTAGCAATGGAGAAATTAGAAAAAAATAATCTAGTATAAGATTGTGTTACTGGAGGCCAAGGTCAAGATCATCCACGCTGTTGTTTTCCAGATACTATGCATGGGTGTGAAAACTGGACAGTAAAGAAAGCTGACGGAGGGGGGTAATTGTTTGAAATGTGGTGCTGGAGGAGAGTTTTATGGATATCCTGGACTGTTAGAAAGACAAACAAGTGGGTTTGAGAGCCAATCAAGCCTGAACTACCTCTGGAGGAAAAAAATTGTGAAACCGAGACTGTTCTACTTTAGCCACATCAGGAGAAGGCATGATTCTTTGGAAAAGGTAATGATTCTGGGAAAGGTGAAAGATAACAGGAAAAGAGAAGGTCCAAATACGAAATGGATTGGCTCCTTGCAGATAAAAGAAGATAACAGGAAAAGAGAAGGTCCAAATACAAAATGGATTGACTCCTTGCAGATAAAGACTACAAGAGCTGAGCTGGGCTGTTGAGGACAGGCTATTTTGGAGATCACTCACAGAGTTACCGTAAGTTAGAGGTGACTTGGTGGCATACAAGAACGTAACATCTTGATCCCAGAATTATTATTTTTTTCTTGCATGAAGAGGTGATTCTTGTGAATCAGAGACAGGGAGTACTTATTCTTTGCCTGGGACATGAGGAGAGGCCAGACTCTTCCTAGACTGTATAAGAGATTATTGTCTCAAGATCTTTGGGAAGATTAAATGGCAAAATCTCAGGTTAATTGGTGGCAGCAGTAGGGGTGAATCCAGAGGCAATGCCTGAGATCCAAGCCTTGACTTGGGAGTAAGTAGACTCCACTGAAATCAGAAGAACTCACTTTCAGATGAATGGGTTAAGCTTGCAGTGCCCATGTGAGCGAGTTCTTTTCAGGGAAATTGCAATCAGTTGCTTTAATATTAGCAATCTCTTTAGGATTCTCCCCGGTGTCTTTCAGTGTAACTTCAGAGTCAAAACATTCTTGCACTGTCTTGAGAAAAATCGCACAACTCTGCTTAGTGCATGATTTTTTTTTCTTTTGCTGCAAGCAAGACTTTATGTTGCAGTCAGGTTGGGTACATCACATGTTCCAAGAAAATTCAGTTTATTTTTAATACCAGGATGAGGCTTTCCACCTAACACTTTTCTTGGGGGTGTGGGTTGGTTGTAAGTTCCAGGACATTCTCCAGTTTAGTTACTAGTGGCCTCTTTCTTCCCCCCCAGTCCCGAGACAGCGGCATTTATTGAACGCATGGAACAAGAACAGGCTCAGAAAGCCAAGAATCCCCAGGAGCAGAAGTCCTTCTTTGCCAAATATGTAAGTAGGGGAGAGCAGGTCTGTTTCTCCATTCTTTTCCTACTTTGCTCCTTGTGGGTTTGATTTTTGGGGTTTTTGTTTGTTTTTTAGAAATATATGTTCTTGAGCCTGTCTGTTGTTTGGGCTCTGAGCCTAGCCAAACACTTGGGCAGAGGGTGGATGGAGGACCTTGTTCTGTGCTCTGATATCTGTTCTCCCCAATCCCCCACAGTGGCATATAATTCTGGGTGGGGCAGTGCTTCTCCTAGTGACCAGCTCAGCAACAGCCCCTCAGGAGCCGGGACGTCAGCCCTGAGCAAAAGTAAAGCCACTCCCCCTGCCTCTTCCTTCCTTCTTCCTCTGTGCAGATACGTCTTTCTAGCTTGGACTCCTTGAATGTTCTCCTTTCCTCACACACAGTACTGTGTATCAGAAGGGGTGAAGGGGCACTTGAGCTGATGGAATTGGTCACCTGGCCATGATTTCTGTGCTGATTGGCTGGCTCCACAGGCCAGGGTACCATTTTCTAGTTCAAAGGTGGGGATCATTTGAGGTGGGCTCTTGGACATGGTTAGACTGCAGTTCCCTTTAGCCCCAGCTGCTGAGGGGTGATGAGAATGACTGCCTGAGCTGTGAGGTCCTTGCATTCCCCTCCCTGCTCTGGCCATTGGTACGTTGTGTTCTGGGAGCAACTGGTGCCCTGAAGACACAAGGCTTGAGAGCTTGTCGTCCTGAAGTGTTTTTTGCTTCCTGACCATCGTCCAAGCTTGACGGAAGGATTCCCCTTCTCTGCCACTGACCAGGAGAAACCTCTTGCAACAAAAGCAGGGCTTCTCTTGTGGAAGATAAGTTTGGTGCCTCCCTTCTTCCCCTTCCTCATTTTGTCCTGTCTGGCTTTGTAAACCCCCCACCCCATCCCAGCATGGTAGAAGCAGAACATCCTTTTTCTGGTGGCAGGTTCCTCTCTTTGTCATCGGGAGCAACACCTTTCCCTCCACTGTCTGTCACTGAGGCGAGATCCACTGTAATCCCTGGTGATGGGAATCTTGTGATTGAGATTTGAAGAAGGGACAATGTCTGTGGGCTTCGGAGACTCATCAGGGAACAAAGGGTTCAAATTGGTTTAAGCAAGACTCTAAACCTGTTGCATTCTAAAATCCTATTCGCTCTAGTCAGCATAGCTCAGAGATGAAGGATGATGAGACTTGCAGGGCAATCAACGGGTCTGCAGCCCTGACCAGAGCTTGGGCAAGAGGGAAGGGGCTAGAGCTCAGATGCTTTCCCATGCAGAAGGCGCCCGGTTTGATCCCCAGCAACTCCTGAGCAAAGCTAGGACAGAACGGTGCCTGAAATGATGAAGAGCCACTGCCAGTCAGACCCAACAGTGCTGGACTAAATGTTCCAGTGATTTGACTTGGAATAAGCTGCCTATAATTTCTAAATGATTGCACAAGATTATAGTTCCCAGAATTCCCCGGCCATTCCTAAAATGTACCTTGTCTAATCTGTGGCCTAGAGTAAGCTTTCCTCTGAAGAGCTAGTCCTCGAGAGCTACTGTATCATTGCCCAAAAGGAGAATGCAAGGAAGAGGTGGATCTTTGTATAGGAGAAAGCCTTTCCCCCCACTTTCTATTAATTCTCCTTTCTCTCTCTCTCTCTCTCCCCCACAGTGGATGTATATTATTCCCATCGTCCTGTTCCTAATGATGTCTGGAGCGCCTGATGCCGGGGGGCAAGGAGGAGGCAATGGTGGCAGTGCGGGGGGAGGCGGCCGGTGAGAGGAGTTCATGCTTTCCTGTGTTGCAGGAAGGCATTGTGTAAATAAATATTGCCAGATGATAGTGGCATCTGTCTTGGTTTTGCTTGTGGGAACAGGATTTGGTTTGGGTTTGAGTCCGTGGTAGGGTAAGCCAGAGGTGCTAGAGTATGATGGCAGAAATCTACAGGTCTTCTCTGCAAATCAAGGTACATTCTTTCTCTGGCAACCCTACACAGTACAAGGTGCCCCTGCATTCCTGAAACATGCCCTTTGCCTGTAAGAGACACACTGTGATATATCTGTTCTGTTTCCAGGGCTTTACAATTGAAAGGGTCAACGGACAACACATTAGCACAGCTGTCTCCAGAGTGGAGATCTTTTAGCTTGGGTGGGATTACAATTTCTTTTATCCCCAGCCAGCCTGGTTTAAAGGTGGTGGGGACTGTAGGTAGGAATGGAAAGGAATTTTAGGGGTTTGCATCTCAAGAGTCACTGCGAACTTGCATGTTTCGGAGGCATTTCAAGGAAGTAATGTGTGCATAAAATACATTTAAAAAATTGAATGGTGAAAGTGTGTGATTGAAAAAAATGTAGAGGTGGTCATTATCATTGAAACTCTTGGGGTGCATCTGTTTACTGGCCCAGGAGGAGAGACTTGAAACAGTGGGAACCTTTTGAGTATTGAAGCAGCTGATGTGGGTGATGCGGTGCAGAGATGTGATGTAGATCCAGTGTTACAGCTGCCACTCCTGATAACATTGAAAACAAAAGCAACTGCGTACAGCAGGCTCAAAACAGCCCAGCAAAGATGTGCATTTTAATCCCGGGGGTCATTGCTCTGTCTTTGGAATCTACTGTCGGTGGTTTGAATCTAAGACCTGCCTTCATTAACCAGTCCGTCTTCTGACTGGACCACTTTAGGAAAATGTCTTTTTCAAGAGAATTGATAGCTGACTTTCATGTGTAAGGAATGTGGCTGGATTAGATCTTTTGTTATGGCCTTCTGGATTCTGGAGATAAATCTTTGCGATGCCGATGAGTGTGGACGTGTACAAAGCAATCTCCTCTCCACCCTGGAACCTGCCAGATGTTTTGGACCAGTTCCCGTAATCCCCTACCTCCCTTACGTACGGATCTTTCTTGAACATTTTCTACTCTGCCTCTCTTCTGTGAATAATTACTATCAAAATGTTCGATACAGACCAACTTGCAGCATTCCAGATCTTATTTGACTGCATCTTATACTAACCCTAGCCAGCATGGCTGTCCAACAGCACTTGGAGGGCCAGTGGCCATGCCAGCTGGGGGATTGCGGTAGTTGTAGTCCAACTCCCCTCCCCAAATTCTGGCTTGATTATGGGATAAAAGAGGTCTGACGTGGGTTCAAACAATAACGGGACTACTCCTAAGTTTGAGCAGCTGCTATGAAATATGGAAGCCTTGGGAGAGGGGGCTCCCTTCCTACCTGTTGTGTAGATCCCCCGTTCTGGTGGTCCCAGCCGGTGTTCTTCCATGCTGCGTCCCTCCCGAGTGTGAGACACTCTTTTCACTTGTGGCCCAGCTTGGTCTGCTTGGAGCTTTCAGGAGCCTCGGTCTCCATGGCAGCCACAAAGGAACAGAATGTGGGACAGAGGATCATTCTGGAATTCCCAGATTAGAAAAAGCCGGGAGGCCTTTCTCTTCTGGGATGGTTAGTTATGAGGTGAGGACAAGGGTTGAGAATTTTGATTTGTGTTTCTTAGCAAGAATTTGCACACACACAAAAAAATCTCAAGAAGAATTTATCAACATATATATATATAAAATCAGATTAAGAATTTACCGTATTTTTTGCTCCTCATGGTGAAGATCTAAAACATCCCAAAATGCGAGGAACCAAAACTAACAAACCCACCCATTCATTCATCTTGGCTCTGGGCTTTAGTGCCTCACGCCTGGAAGTTTGGTTTTGAATTCCTGCAATATTTAAGCATGTTAAAGCTGAACTAGAGTAGTCACTCCTTAACAGGCAACTTATGTTTAACAGCAAAGCAGATGCAATGTGGTCCTCTATGCCGCTGAGTCGCTGCTGTGCCTAGTGAATTTGGACAAGTTCAAATGAGAAGGATTTAGGTGCGTGCTGGGTTCTAGAAGCACTTGCCAAGCTTCGTTAATATCATGTTTGGAATAGCAAGAACTTGAGGTTTGAAAGGAAAATGAAAGTGGGGGAGGTGAGCTGGCAGCTTTTTCTGTCTTTAATAAATGTCTCAATCTCTTGTCAGTTCAGGAAGGAGTAGCGACTGAAATTGTAACTGCTGTTGATGATCACTGCTTGGGTTGCTGTGTGAGTTGAAGTGGAAGCATATTTCGTGAAAGTGAGTGCCTTGAGAGTTTCCTGAAGAGACCAGAAGTTGAAGTGGAAGCATATTTCGTGAAAGTGTTGAGAGTTTCCTGAAGAGACAAGACTGGGAGAAGGTTATAAGCCAGTCTACTTACCCAGTGGTGGCACTACAGGTTAAACCGCAGAAGCCTCTATGCTGCAAGGTCAGAAGACCTGCAGTTGTAAGATCGAATCCACGCATTGGAGTGAGCCCCCGTTGCTTGTCCCAGCTCCTGCCAGCCTAGCGGTTCGAAAGCATGCAAAATGCGAGTAGATAAATAGGTACCACCACGGTGGGAAGGTAATGGGCGTTCCGTGTCTAGTCACACTGGCCACGTGACCACGGAAGATTGTCTTCGGACAAACACTAGCTCTGTGAGTTGGAGACGGAGATGAGCACTGCCCCCTAGAGTCAGACACGACTGAGCAAAATGTCAAGGGGAACCTTTACCTTTTTTATCCAGTTAAATCAGAAGTGGAGGGATGCTGTGACACTTCACAAGTGATCCAACGGGGCCAATGGTTGGAGATGCTGGGATCCACCACCTGAAGGCCAACTTCTCTATCCCTGAATGAAAGGTAGTAAATAATGTAGGACTGGGGTGCCTGTCAGCCTACAGATGACGGATTACTGCTCCCACCATGCTGAGAGTTGATGGTTCCATATGATGTGCTTGGCCACAAGTTCCCTGTAGTGGATTGGCCTGTATCCCCTGGGGAACATAGGGATGCATCTGTGCTTTGCATAAGAAACTCCTTGCGTACTGATCCACATATGTGCCTGGAATAAACAAAGATGCTGCAGTTTGCTTGTCCGTGTAGTTGTTCCACATATGTGCCTGGAATAAACAAAGATCCTGCAGTTTTGCTTGTCCGTGTAGTTCTGCTTCTAATAGGAAGAGATCCTCTGGGCTCTGCCCCTCTAAAACTTCAGCTGATGCTGCTCACATTTCCTTAAAATTTCTTTTGCATCCACCAGATTTAGAAGCCAGTTCTAGATTCCCCCCCAACACACACACACACTTCAGATGAGCCCCAAGATATTCAGCCTACAGATACTGCAGTCCCTTAACTGTGCTTGCGACATACATTGCTGGAGTTACTTAACTGGATTGTGCCAATTTTAGGTATCTGGCTGCACAGCTAGAGGTGCAGAGTTCGATTTCCCGCTGTGTCTCCTGTGAGTACAGCCAGTCTGTGTAGCCCTGGGCAGGATGTAAAAATGCAGGACACCCCCAGAAAAAGGGAATGGTAAATCCCTTCTGAGTATTCTCTACCTGGAAAACCCCAAAAGGGTCACCATAGGTCAGAAGTGAGTTGACAGCACATATTATTAATAAATGAAGTATACATTAGAGGGGCGTCCCAGGCAGGGGGAGGCTTTACTTTTCAGTGTTCACGGTAATTAGAAAAATTACTGTATTTGCTTTCTCCTGAAGTGATGTTTATGTCTAGCACCGCAATGTGACCTGATGGGTTTGGTATGCGAGCCTAAATTGACTGTTCTGGCCAATCCTTCCTCATAATCCTATTTCTTAGTGTATCTAGTCTACAGAGTTAATAGGAGTGCTTTAACTGCCATAGCTCTATGCCAAGGAATTATTAGATGTGTAGTTTGGTAGAGTATGTAGAATTCTCTGTTTTACTGCACAGAAGTGCACTAGAGGGGACAGTTCTCGAACCTTTGGGTTTCAGATGCTTAGATTTCCTCTCAGAATACTTGGCTATGAGGGTTGGAAATTAAAGGCCAAAACAGCTGAAGGGCTAAAAGTTGAGAACCTCTGCATTTGAGCAGCTTAGCGGAGAATTCCTAGTACTCAGCCAAACTTCTAATTCCAGAATTTAGGATAGAGGAATGACAGTTACTTAAATCAAACTACTGTAATTATGCCTTCCTGCTAATTAAGCATGCTCAGATTGCTCCTCAGAGAATCTAAGACAAGGAAAGGGAATGTGTAGCCTTCTAGAAAACCATCAGATGGTAACTTGTATTAGCCATAGTGAACGCGACCACTGGTAAGGAATGATGATTGCAGCGCAACATCTGGATGGTGACAGCTTGCTTGTTCTGAAGAAATCCTGGCTCTCCCACAGAGGTGGAAATCGTGTAATCTTCATTAGCTTTCCTGCCCTCTGTGCTCTACCCTCTAACCCCATTTCAAAATAATATAAAATTAAATGAGTCTCCATGCATGACAATTCCACATTAAAGCAATATGCAGCTTGCACCTGCTAGAGTCTTGTTTCACAAATACAAAAAAGGTGTTGTTTTTAAAGTAGCAGTGACTTTCCAATCTTATTTGCTGGGGAAAGACTGTTAGATAGAAGGCTAAAGGCTGGTTTCTGAACCAGCAGCTTGCCTATCCCCAGTCCAGTGTGATTTACAGCTCCCCTGTACCTGGATCCCAGTTCAAGGACTGTACTTTCTTACACCCAAACTAATGTGGCTACACTTGAATTGGTGCTGAGTCAGCAGAAGGGGACCTGTACTGGCCTTGCTTCTTTAAAATCATGATCCAAGGAGCAACGTACTTTAGCAGACTTTTGCTGCTTACAGACACCCATCTTGTTTTAGCAGTGCTGTAATTAAGCCAAGAACATATCCTTGCGTCACTAAGAACTCCCTGAATGCAGAAAAATAGTAGGTCAGAGAGAAGAACAGCCAGAACCCTTTACTGCAATATCTAACTTTCTAGAGGAGGGATGAAATATTTAACACAGCAGTAGCACAGTTGAGACCCAGCCTTTCCAATATCCTAGATCAGGCCATGGTCCTCAGAAGCTAGAGCAAATATTCTGAGTGGCCTTTGACTTCTCTCCCCATAAAGTTTGACTGTAGCTTGGTCATCTGTAACCCAGCTTAAGCAAAGCCAGCTGCCCAGCTCTGTGTTGTGTCATTTGACCTTAGACCAGTTTGGGATTTGCTGGCTGGGGTTCGAGAGTTAATGGGCATTGGCAACTAAGAGTAGACATGAGGTCAAGGAGAAGCAGTCCTGGTGAGTTATGTACTTTTGCAGTGTTGACAAGCTACCCTCCTCTTGGTTGGCCGAGGACACCTCCAGCTACAGGATATCTAATGGCTTGCGAAGGGCTTTCAAATGGAGTAGCCTCAGCTAAGTTTTTTCACCACATTTGGCTACGTTCATGGAGACTATGAGTGAAGAAAACCTTGCATGACTATCCGCTATGGGGAGAATTTTCTTAATTCCATTTTCTCCTTTCCCCAGACTTCAATCTTGGAATGCTCCAGGAACAGCAGTTTTTGTGCGGAACTTAAGCCCTTCCTAAATCTCACTATCAGAACCGGAAATGAATGTCTGGCCATTTCCAGTCTTGATTTTTACAAATTATGTTGATGTTTTTCATCATTTCTGGGTCTGCTGCAACCAGTAGTATGTGCAGGGACCAAAAAGATGCCCCATCAGAATTTCCCACTTCAGTTGAAAAAACAAATGGGAGCTGGTTAGTATAGCTCAACAGCACTGGGTGCTACAGTCTTCTGTCAGCATTGTGATCCTCAAGCTGTAGCCCCCCCCCCGCAGCCCTGATCTTCCATTGCTAACCAGAGACTATGCTTTTTCTGCTACAGCATCAGTTTGTGCGATTTCTGCCTACCCACTGTGCCCCCACCTGGCTAAAAACCTATGGCCACATACAACAGCCTTCACTAGCATGGTTGCTGTGTTGGATAAGGTCTGCTGCAACCAGTAGTATGTGCAGGGGCCAAAAAGGTGCCCCATCAGAATTTCCCACTTGAGTTGAAAAAACAAATGGGAGCTAGTTAGTATAGCTCAGCAGCACTGGGTGCTAGAGTCTTCTGTCAGCATTGTGATCCTCAAACTGTAGACCCCCCCCCCACCCCCCCACGCCCTCCGCTAACCAGAGACTATGCTTTTTCTGCTACAGCATCAATTTGTGAGATTTCTGCCTACCCACTGTGCCCCCACCTGGCTAAAAACCTATGGCCACATACAACAGCCTTCACTAGCATGGTTGCTGTGTTGGATAAGGATGATGGGAGTTATAAATAAACAAACAAACAATCCAACTTGGCTAGAAGGCAAGAACTGAGAAGACTGTGCTCAATTAATTATCTCTGCAGCTACCCTAACCTAAGTAAGGTGGACAGCAGCTACTCCTCCAAGCATTCTCCCCACTTGAAGAGCTTAGCAGAAAAGGCCATCTAAGACGAGGCATTGTTTTAGCTGAAAATTAGCTGTCAGGATGTTTGGGCAGTTTTAAAATAGAGCCAAGGTTTGCAGTGTTGAAATCCCAGGACTTTTTGTTCAACTGGGATGATGGCATCATTTGCCTTGTCCCCAGTGTATATTTCACAGCAGCCCTTACATTTGTGGGGATGTTTGTGAGTGTCCCACCACACATATACTGATGTCCTTGTTCTAACAAAAAGAAGAAGAATGCAACGTGTGCACACATAGCTATGAATCAACAGACGTGTGCGTGTTGTGTAGACTCTCTTTAGGGATGCAGCTGTAAGGATGCTCATGACAAGTGACTGTGCTTCCAGATGTACCATTAGCCTGCTGTGTTTTTGAGTCGGGAAGGGGACACACCTAGAGCTCTTTGGAAACTGGGCCCCAAGTCCCACGTCCCTTTGAGCCCACAAAGAGTCTTCACTCCCGCAGATACCCTACTTGGAGGGTAGGTTTGTTTTTCTTCCCATTTTTATTGATGTCACGGTTTAGCAGCAGCTTCAAGTTCCAAACCTATTGCAAAGAGAGATCACCTTCCGGGGCCCCCCTCCCCTCCCCCACTGAAGCTGGGGAGGTTGTACCCAAGCAATGGCGGGGGGAGGCATATGGCTTTTCCAAAAGAAAAGGGGGGCAGAGGTTTAGGAAGCAGGGCTGTAGGGTTCCCCACTCTTTTTGTTTTCCCCACCCCTTTGTTGCACACACTTAAAAAACAAACGGGCCCCAAACCAACCCTAAACAGGACAGAATCTCAAAGACGAAGACAAAATGACAAATGGACGTGCGTTGGGGAGGGAGAGACAAAAATCAAAGTTTGACATTCCAAACAAGAAGAAATTTGGGTGGGTGGGGGAGATAGATTAAGGAAAGAGCAACACAAGCAGGGGCAGAACTAAGACACCTAGGTTCTCAGACTGGGCATTCTCCCAGCTTAGTCTGGGAACTGCTCCCTGCCCAACTTGGGAGGAAGGCAACCATGCAAACCCCAGAAGAACCAAAATCAACTAGGCTTAGTGAAGGCAGCAAACGAGAGACACGATAACCCCTGTAACACTTACACACGCATACACAAAAGAGTCCAGAATTGCCTGCCTCCATTGGAAGTTCTGACAGGTCCAAATCTGGTTGAAAGGAGGAAAGGACTGGGCCTGACGTCCATTAGGGAGACTTTTTTTTTTTTTTGGTAATGTCAAAAGCCCTTTCCTATTTTGTGTCAAGGAACTCTGTAGTCATTCTCAACAGGAGGGTGGGGAGGACCTGACTGTTGTGTCTTCCCCTTCTGCCAGTTCCAATGCTACCCCCTAGACAGGATGGGAAGGAAATGTTCCATCATTCCTTGTCTTTCTCCTCCTAGGTTGGAAGTTCATGCAGATTGAGGCAAAGGGTCCTGCATGCATACTGGCCAAGGAAGGATCACCCCCTTCCCCTCACAGATATCATACTGGGCAGCAGAAGGGACATTTCCAACCACCAAGAAGCCTATCAGAAGAACTAAAAAGAGAGGAGTTAGGGAGCTCTTCTGAACAAGAGTCTATGGCCAGTTCGTTTTAAATTCACAGCTGGGAGGGGAGCTACAACCCATCGATGGGATGGAGTGAGGGAAGAGGAAGCAGGGGATTTCTGGGGAGAAGGGGGCTCCCAGCAAAAACTGCCCACTGTTTTCCCTCAGCTTTTAATAGTCAGAACTCATCAGCTGCCACCACTACAGATCTCTTGTGCAGGTGCCCCCGTTGAATCGCCACTCATCATGCAGCTTCGTAAAGCCACGGGACCTTGGGTCAGAACACAGAGGTGACACCACTCTACCATCAAGCCAGACCCTTCCAGAGGATAGACTTCCAAAAACATGCATGTCACAAAAGATCATCCCTCCCTTTGTGTAAAATGACTGGGGGAGGGTAGAGGGAAGGGTCTTCCAGGCCAGACATCTACTTGCACACATTCCCTACCCCATCCCCGCATTAAAAATGCTCCTTCTTGGCTGCCTTTATGGCTTTAGAAAAAAAATGCGACAGGCAGCAGCTTCCTGGGGGAGATGGGAACGGAGAACAGGCAGAAGCTTGCCACCCATTCTCTGACGCCCCCTGCTGGCAGCTCCTCCAGGATGGGCCGGAGGAAACAAATAGTCCAGAACTTCCAAGAGCACATCACTGGAACCCTAAAACAAAGGAGAAGGAAAAACGTAAACATTTCTTCCTTTCTACCTCTCCCAATGTCTGATTTCAAGCTAAGAACTCTTTGGGATGCTGTATGTTCTTTCCTCTGCAAAGCACAACAGCTACAGGGTATTAGCATCTCTCTTGTAAGCCATTTGAGGTGTGCAGAAGACATGCAAGCTCCTAGGAGAGAGAGATTAGCCAAAAGGTAAGTGGCTTTAACTAACTACATCACAGACAGGATGTGCAGAAGGTAAGAATTACTGTCTTTTAAAGGTCTTCTCCCTGTTGTCCTTCAGGCAAAGACTTTGTTTAAATAGGCCTATGGGAAAAATGGATTTGTTTGAATGTGGTGCTGGAGGAGAGCTTTGTGGATACCCTGGACGGTCAGAAAGACAAACAAGTAGGTCTTAAATCAAATCAAGCCTGAACCATCTCTGGAAGCAAAAATGATGAAACTGAGGCTACTTTGGGCACATCATAAGAAAGGGAGAAAAAGACAATAATGCTGGAAAAAGTTGAAGGCAGCAGGAAAAGAGGAAGAACAAATATGAGATGGATTGATTCTCAAAAGGAAATCACAGGCTTGAGTTTGCAAGAGCTAAGCAGGGCTGTTTAGGGAAGGACAATTTGGAGATTGCTCATTCATGGGGGTCGATGTAAGTTGAGGGTGACTTGATGGCATGTATCAACAACGAGGACAACATGGCAATTAGACATCTAGACTCCTGTTGGTTTTTTTTAAATGGGTGGGTGTGTTTTGTTTATGTGTTTTAATTGCTTTTAATTTGTTGTATGTACTAATTTCATGTGTTTTGTGTTCTACTGATGCTTGCTTTATTTGATTTGAATTTTACCTCCCTTAGGTCTGATTGGGGGTGCTAAGATAAGAGTGCCAATCAAATAGGTTTGGAAGCTTTCACATACCGTATTTTTCCGTGTATAAAATGACACTTTTCCCTAAAATAATTAGAGGAAAAATTAAGAGTCGTTTTATACACGGAAGGCAGCAGCAGGAGGCGGAGACTGAGGTGAAGAAGCAGCCCCATTGGCTGCCGCCAGCGCCACCTGATCGCCCCTTCCAGCAATTGTCTCCTTGCGATCAGGCGGTGGCGGTGGCAGCGGCAGTCAGTGGGCGACCGAGTGTGGCTGCTTCTTTGTCTCCCTCTCTTGCCTCCTCGCAGTCTCCTCCAGCACCACTCACGGGCTCAGCAGCAGCAGCAGGAGATGGAGTCAAAGAAGCAGCCATGCTTGGTCGCCTCTCGCTGTTGCCCACTGACTGATCCTCCACCTCCAGCAAGGGTAAAAATTAGGGGGTCGTCCTATACATTGGGGGACCATATACATGGAAAAAGTACAGTACTTCTAATCAAACACCTTTAAAGAAACGAAAACTTCTTGCCTATCAGGTATGCTGCCAGATGCACAGCTTTAAAAAAGACAAAGGGATTTTTTTTTGCTGGATCGCTTCAGCTTAACAACAGGATTTCTTGGCTAGGCCAAATTAGAAGGACTCAACACAGATTTTTAAAAAGTACATAAACTAGAATTTGCCCTTTCCCGAATGAAAATCTAAAGAGGATCTTGTTTATGAAATCGGAGTTTCCAGATCATAATAGAAGCCTTGTGTTTAAAAAAAGCTATTGCGTGTGGCAAACCATTGCTTGGGGGTAGGGGAGGCCATCAGTTGTTCTGCTGTGTCTGTTTGTATGGCTTTCCACGCTGAATTTGACTGCCCCAAAGGGGAGTGACCTCAGAGGCAGAGGGCTACAAAAGAGATGCTTCCATCAGGTGGTCAAGGGGAGAACTGCAAGCATGTTTAGGGTCACAGGGGCCATGTCACAAGTGGCAACAGTGTGATAGCTGCACCAGAGTGCAGGAGTCACTGGTCAGTAAGTGCTGTTAGAGTAGGACGTGGGTGTAGCGTCCAGTCCCCATTCAGCAGTATATTAAAAAAGAGGTCCCTCTAGTGCAGGGTAGGGCTGGCTTTCTCATTGATAACCATCTCCTAAAATTAAGCTTATGTTTATATTTATCATCCCGTTCCCATCTGTCAACGACACTCACAGTCCCTGCTGGTGAAGGGCTGATGTTGCCTTAGTCTGAATGAATGGTTTCTACTATGATGCTGGGTTTGTCCCGTGCTGGAGGATTCTTGTTGATGTAGCTGTTCAAAGTCTTTTCCTGAAGGAAGAGAGGAGAAAGACAAGAGAAGATCAGAAAGGCAAATATAGTAGTGCCTCGGTTTACAAACACCTCAGTTCACATAATTTTCGGTTTACGAACGGAAATCCAGTGAAAATGATGCCTCGGTTTATTTTTTTTTTTTCTGCAGCATGAAGGAAGTTTCCCCAAGATGCATTGTGCCTCAAGGTTTATAGCACCACCCCTGTTCCTATGGCAAACTGCATTTCGGTTTACAATTTTTTTGCACTAGGTAACATCCCGTAGAATGCATTAAATTCGTAAACCGAGGTACTATGGTAGAAATATTTCAAAATTGCCAACTGCTCCTATAGCACTGGGACACTGGCTGCGCTCTGAAGCCAAGAACCCTACATCCTACAAGTGTAACTGCTGGACCCTACTGTCTTATTGAAGAACCCAAGGATCTTGCCTTCCCCATAGTGCCTTGAAGAAACACATTCTGGAGACACATTTCTTACCGTGTTCTAATCCAGTAGGCTTCAAATTTTTTGTAGGTTTCCAGTCCTTAGTCACCTAAAGCTACTGACAGAGAATTTGGGATTCTAGCTTCTTTCCCCTTCCTTTCTGACACATTGTCTTACGGCATTCCTCTGAGGTAGCATTATATGCTCAGAACAAGCTACTGAGGTCTTCCAGCTGTACCTTGCTTTTCCAGTACTGTATCTGGGTGCAGTAACGGACACACTGCTGTCAGGCAATAGTCCATAGTGTTTACTCAAATAGCCGCAAACAAGACCTCAAAGGGGATGAGATCAGGGCTTGTTATCTTGCATTGCAGCAGAGTACTGTTTTATTTTCTGCTTTGGACAGACAGTCTGGAACAAAACATCCCTAATGAAGCACTGGAGTGATTTCAAATTGTTCCTGCTGCTTTAAAACATACGAAGACCTAGGCTGAATCAGAACAAAGCCCTGCCTAATTCAGTTTTCCTCTTCCTAGAGCACTGAATTGTATTTTTGGAAGGACATGAGTGTACTAGTGCACTCTTGTACATATTCCCAGAAAGCGCTATCCAGCAGTATACTGGAGCCTCTATATGTCCTTTGTGACTAGTAGCCACAGATGCTCTTAGCTCCAGGAATTTGTCCAACTTATCTTCAAAGCTGTCCAGGTAGGGAGTCATCACCACACATTGTGGTGGCAAATTCCACTATATGTTATACTTTAACTATGAAATACTTATTTTTATGTATCCTGAATTTTTTTATCTTTTTGTTGAATTAACTCATATCTCATCCTAGTTATTGTATTAGAAAAAAAGTCTCCCTTTCCATAACATGCATAGTTTTATAATAGTCAACAATCATATGCTGTCAAGTCAATTCTTTTAATTTTTTCCCAGGGTGTTCTAGGTGCATAATACTGATTAGTGGTCTCTGGGGGTGCCCTGGAACTGTGCAGCTTGCCCTGGACCACATAGGCTGGCTCTTCACACAGGAGGCAAAGTAAGGAATCAAACTTCCCAACCTCTGGCTCCACAACCAGAGATCTAAATCACTGAGCCATTCAGACCTCTATAATGTTTCTGTCTTATTTACCTTTTTTCTAAACATCCGTGGAGTTACACAAGCTCTTTCATAAGATAAAAAGCCCCAAACATTGTCAACGTTTCTTGCAGGGGAATTGTTTCAGCCCCTTGATCTTTCTAGTTTTGATTTTCCTAGCTCTGCAATATCCTTTTTTTTTCTCATGCAGTGACCTGAACTACACAATACACAGCATTGTTCCCTGGAGATAAGCCTCACCTCCACAAGCTGATGCCAGTGTTCAATGGGTTTCCGTGGATTGGCCAGCATCTCAGCCCAGTGCTCTCTCCCTGGGGTGTCGGCATCGCTCCCCACCCGACACATCCCAATAACTTCATTGTGTCCAATGCTGCAGGCAGAAAGAGCATGTTAGTGCCAGCCGACCTGCATAGGAAGAGGGCAAGCCATGTGGTGGAAAGCTAATTTTCCACCTCAGAATATGTTATGCCTAGTATGCGTAAATTTGTGTGTATGATGACTGCATTATTCATTTACATCACAGGCTTTGGGAGTGGGAGGGACAGGGCAGAACACTGAAAAGGTTAACATTAAGTTGTCTGCTTTTTAAAGTAAACACCCTTCAAGAGCTAGAAACAGATGATGTTAAAACTTGGTTATTTCTATTTCCTTGGGCAAAACTTCAAAGCGGGGCTCAGTTTCTACATGGAATAAAGACCAGAGTTTAGAAAAGTTAGTTTCCTGGACTGCATCCCCAAGAATAATAATCTAACAATAGAAATCTTAGAACTGCAGAGCTGGAAGGGACTCTATGGGTCATCATGTCCAGCCTCTGTCAAGTAGGCAGAATAGGAAATCGAAGTCCCAACTATCATGTCCAGCCTCTGTCAAGTAGGCAGAGTAGGAAATTGAAGTCCCAACTTCTGGCTCTATAGCCGGATGTCTAAACCACTGAGCTATTGAATGTCTAAGGTGACATGCCTGGTGGCCATACTGGCTATCAGATTAGGAGAGCTGTAGTCCAAAATAGCAGTGTAGTCCACTGCTTGGATAAGTCCAAAACTTATCCAAGCAGTGCTGGTAAGGACCCAATGTTTGTACACCATGTTTAAGTTTAGGATTACCCTGTATCATGTAACTGGCAAGTATCCTTCCCCTCAGGGTCTGATTGTATAATCTGTTGAGTGTGCAGCATAAGTTCCCTAAGTGTCATCTGGGCTCATCATGCAAAACCAGTGGTTCTTCGTGGGAAATAATTGCTGCTTACCTTGAAGGGAAGAGTCTCTTGATCACAATGACATATTATATGGGGCAATTTTAAGTTTATTGGGACAGGAGCAAATAAATTTTATCTATTCGTTTTATTTTAAGTTTATTGGGACAGGAGCAAATACATTTTATCTCTTTATTAGTTTCTGAGTTCCAGTTCAAAGTTGTGCATAAATAAGGAACCAGGAGTCAATGTCCACTATAAACGTAGTTAAAAACAGTGAGTTGGATCCAGGATCTGTCTTCTGTTGATGGAAGGGCTCCCCTCACCAACAATAATACAGTAATCATGTGCCATCACGTCAATTCTTATTTATGGTGACCCTTTTCAGGGTTTTGCAAGTGGTTTACTATTCCCTTCTTTTGATGGTGACTTGGGCTGTGTAGCTTGTGCAAGGCCACAGAAGCTGGCAATACCTGCAGGAGGCACAGTGGATAATAAGAGTGGGGCAATCAGTATTCATATCCCTGGGGATATGAATATGAATATCAGCACCACAGGTGCTGCGGACATCCAGCCCCTCCTCCCCGAATTGGCCAGTCCACTCACTGGTGGCCACATGGCCACAGGTGCTGCGGACATCCAGCCCCTCCTTCCCGAATTGGCCAGTCCACTCATGGATGTCATCCACGTTGTTGTGCCAATCGCAGAAACAGCCCAGCTGGTACTTCTCTAGCTCTCTGCCCAGCCAACCACTCTGGCGAGAAGGTGGGATGAAGAATCTCCCCACTCAGCTGCTGAGTGGTCAGCTGTGTGGGGAGGCATGGAAGTGCTGGCTGGGCTACTTCCATGATTGGCATGATGACGGCCCTGCGAATGGTGTAGCAACCAGCCGGTTCAGGGAGGAAGGGCTCAATCTCTGCAGTACTGTGGTGCCAATATTTGTATTTGTATCCGCAGGGATACTTAAATCTGAGCTATCCGGTGGCAACAGTGCCTCCACCCGAGTTCTAGAGATCATCAGTTCCCCAACAGCTCACCCCATTCAGAAACTGCCTTCTAACCCTTTGTGTTGCATTTTCAGGTGGCTGCCATGTGGAGGAGAGGGTCGGGGAATCTCACCCAATTTCTTTTAAGTGCATAAGAGGGTGGGAGTTAAGATGTTCTGACCATTCTGCCACCCTGCCTGCCTTTGCCAACTGCTGCCTGTTTGCACAAAGATAGACGGGAACGTCTCTCACCAGTCATAATCCATGACTGCCAATGTGATGCTGACGTGCTCCATGCTGTCCTGGGGGATGTCGAAGACAAGAGCTTCATTGTAAGTGGGGTTGAGAGTGTTCTTCTTGATGGATGTTTTGCGCTTCTTCAACCGCCGCCCTTCACACATGAGGGAAGCCTTGACGTAGGGATCTGGAAAGTGGCAGGGAGGGAGCAGAGAAAAGGGAGAGAATTATAGCGAGAAAGCAGCCTAGACCAGACTTACTGCCTAGGAGTAAAACCTGTGAGGAATGAAGTTATTTTTTTCAAAATAAATAATTTAATAATTAAATTATTGTGCTAATTATTACAATGTATGAAGCATTCCTCACTGAAATGTTGGAAAAATAATGTACTGCTTTAGCTGAACATGAACCTGTTGGTCTTTCATTACTTTCTGTCACGTAGGACTGAAAAGGGCATTAAATCTAAACAATTCCTGTCAAAGCAGCTCTAAAAGTACCACTGGAAATTACTTCTGAAAATAGCTAGAAAAAAATTATTCCTTATATGTATGGAGTAACTTCAGTCTAGCCGATGACATTGCCTTTGGAATGTGGACAGCGGATGGATCAGGACGGAGGTGGGTTGCTCCCACAGCCTAATCACAAGCCATCTCTGCTTTGGAATCTAACTTTGTTCCACTCTCGTTACTTTAACATGTGGTGCAGTGGTTAGATTGTTAGGGAGAGCCATGTTCAAATCGCAATTACGGACAGAAATCTCTGAGTGAAATGAGGCCTGATTTGCCACACAGGGTTTTTCTTAGCAAGAGCACCATGTATACTGCTTTGAGCTAATTGGTGGAAAAGTGGGATATAAATGTAACTAATAAAATCTACAAGAATCAATGTCACTTGTAATTTGTTGCTTCTGAGTGTTGCTCGTTGCCTACCTTCCAGTCCTGCTTTCCCCCCTGCCCAGTTGCCCTGTCAACTCACCAGAAAATCCAGTTAGATCCATGGCTTTGAGGTTGGTGGCCTTAATTATGGTGACTGTGAGGCGCCCAGCTGTGGGCAGGTAACAAAGGGAGAAATTCAGCTCCCCTAAATCCGCTTTTTCCTAAGAAAGATGGGGGGAGGGAAAGAAGCATGGTCAAGAATCAAATACTCATAACAAGAATAAAAATAATTTACTGGAGATGCTAGATGACCTCCTGTCATGGACCCTACAGTAGCATTTTGCACTGCTGATTCTGTATCAAACAGGAGCTTGAGCCAGGCACCTCTAGAAATCCATTTCAACTTTATGATTCTATTAATATTTCTGAATATAGTCTTGCTGGATTCTTGTCATGTTGGTTAATACCCTCACTAGACCGACCTTCTCTTCCATTTTCAGTTCTGACAGCCAAATTGGTTATGGAGTTAAAGAAGGTTGAACTTTCCCAGATGTTGTAGGGATTCCACGTTTCATCAGCTCCACTCAGTCTGGCCAGTGGTCAAGAACAAAGGGAGTTCTGGAACCCAACAAACAAGCGGGTTATGACTTCCCGATTCCTAGCAAAAGGACACTTTGCACTTGTCCTAGGTACAACTTCTATCTTGTGCTTTTTAAAAAAAAAACTGGACACTCCAAGTAGCTCAAAAGAAATACAACAATAGCAACAGTTTTAAAAAATATCAGACCTGTAAAACAACCTTAGCACTGCAACAAGAAGCAGATACCAGCAAAAAGTATAAAGAGCAGGATCATTATCATAGGTTAGCCTTTTAATCCTTTAAAAGAAAAAGGGATTTAATTCGGCAGCCTAAGGAGTAACATTGGAGTACCCCTAATGGTTTTGGAGAGGACCTTCTTGAATGAGGGACCAGACTGTCACTGAGGTGCTCACCCACCTTGCCTCTGAAAGTGAGGGTATCCAAAAGAAAGCCTCTGTTGCGGGTTTTTAAACTGTTGGGCAACCTCTGGGCCTCCAGATGTTCTTGGCCTGCGGCTCCCACCAGTGCTCTCCAGCACAACCAATGCTGTGGTACAGGCAATCCAATATCTGGAGGGCCCCAAGTTGCTCACCCATGTTATAAGAGAGCAAGGCAGGTCTACAGGAGGCACGATGATAGAAATACCCAGGCCTAAATAGAAACCTTTGAAATGGCTTCCTCAATCAGAATAAAAAGAAAAAGGAAGACCCTGTCATGTAGCCTCCTGTGGGAACACATTGCCCCTTTCGAAATTCAAACCCATTTGATCATTGCATGTGTGCACTGTACTGTACTGGGCTTCAAGGCTTTCGTCCCAGTCTCCTCCTCCTCCTCCCCCTTCTCTTTCATGGATGCCATAGTACTGCCAGTTTGTTTTTAAATTACCGTATTTTTCGCACCATAAGACACACTTTCCCCCCACAAAACAGGGGGGGTGGAAAGTCTGTGCGTCTTATGGAGCGAAGAAAACAGATTACATTTTCCTGTTTTCTTCTCCTAAAAATTGGTGTGTCTTATGGAAAGGTGCATCTTATGGAGCGAAAAATGTAGATCCTTACTTAGCGCAGACATATGGAACTTCACTTTATTCATTTTATACAGAACCATTCTGCTAAAAGGGTGCTTTAAGGCAGTTACTGATAATAAAACAAAAACAAAATCTACACTAAAATCTAACGTTGTATTATTTGAAACCTAACACAAAAACAAAATAATTTTAAGCACCCATTCTGCTAAAAGGGTGCTTTAAGGCAGCTACCGATAATAAAACAAAAACAAAATCTAAACTAAAATCTAACGTATTATTTGAAAGCTAACACAAAAACAAAATAATTTTAAGCATTGCTAAAAATACAACAGTTTAAAAGTTTACAACAAGCCACATTATCAGTCTCCAGTGAGAACATAATTTAGATTTTATTTCCATCTGATTTATTAAGAATACTAATAATTGCCATAATGAATCACTTATCATGTCCCATTCATTCCCTCAAGGGGGCTTTTTCCTGATGCTTTCAATTAAGCTATGCTTTCTCATGTTTGGATTATGCAAACATTCAAATAAATACACATGAATAAATATATGTGGAATAATGGAAATGTTAACAGTTTCCCACACAAAGCAGAAAGATAAAACGTAGCATATTTATTTTCCTCCTACAAAGGCTAGTCAAGGAATAATCCACATATCCACATTTAAGAAAAACAAAAATGCAGAGATCAAGGAGCCACTTGCATTTCATAGAACTCTTGGCCTTCAAAGAATTTCTACCAAATTTCATGTCAAAAGGTTTTCACTCGAGTGTAGGCTTGCTAGAACCTCTTTTTGTTTTTTAACTGCTTTACATGTTGTGGGTTACCAATCACATATGTGAATATACAGGAGGAAATGAATTAAAATGTATATGAATCAGGATTTGCATTACAAAGAAATATTGCTGAATGTAAATCTCCATATAAAGGCTTTCAAATATCCCAAAGAGCAAGTATAATTCCCTCCCACAGCTTCACTTCATTTCCTTTGAAGAAAAAAAGCAGATGACTAAAACACAGGTTCTCTCTCTGTATATAAACCACAACATGGTGGCTGAATATATTTATATATTCAGATGGAAATAAAACCTGAATTATGTTCTCACTGCAAACTGATAGCCGCTTGTACTAGACTTAAGTGTTTGGGTGGCACCTCCTTTAAACTGTTGTGTTTTTAACTTTGTTTATAATTCTTTCGTTTTAATGTTAGACTTTAGTTCAGATTTTGTTTTTTATTTTGTTTGATTATTGTTAGTTGCCTTAAGCACTTTTATCAGGATGGTACCTTCTAAAATTAATAAAGTTAGTGAGGTCCCACATGTCTGTGCTATGTAAGAAATTAACCCTATATTCTGTTTATTTACTGTGTGTGTGCGTGCATGCATGTGTGCCTGTGCCCATGCAGGGGTTACCATGTGTGTTTGTATTTTCAGGGAGCTCAGGTAGATTGGAAAATGCAAATACCAGCATGGATACTGACATTGAGCAGATTAGACAAATATCTTGTGTTCTCCTATAATCACATGTTGTTGTTGGGATATGGAGTTTTTGTGTTTGTTTGTTTGTTTCTACAAAGATAGGGCGAGGTGTCAGCTCTTTCTAAGCAAGACACAGAGCTTGGAAATAATATCTTATTATCATTGATGCACTAATGGAAAAAGCACTGCTTTCACTTTAAGCAAGCAAAAGCAGATATGCTGCACACATTCGAAGATGTGCAGAGGCTGCACAGAAGAAGGGTGAAAATTACAATTCCTGCATCTCCACCCCAAGGAAAAATGCCTTTTGTATAGAGCAATACTAATACCCACAACAATTTCCGTTCTACAGAGAAGGGGTTTTTCTACTCCATGGCTGCTCCTTGCAGCCCTTTCAGGGAGATAAAGTGCCCCATAATTTGTTTATATCTTTATAATATTTTTACCCCACCTTTGTCTTTAAAAAGGACCCAAGGTGGCTTACGTTATTGAAAGACAATATTTAAAGCTGAAAACAATGAGTATAAAGAGGCAGCGTACATCATTAAAAGACAGTATTAAAGCTAAAATGATATGTATATAAATATTAAAAAGGAACAAACAAATACCACTCTGAGAGATGGTAAACAGTACTAAAGACCCAGTCAGAGCAGTAATGTAACAATCTGTGCAAAAGTCACATTCATGTATCTAGTTACTGAGTGAAAGCTTGCCTGGGATTGAATGAAAGTGTTTGTGCATGATGATATTATTATTATTATTAGGAGAAGGAACTCATAGGGAAGTGTCAGAAGATGAGATGGAACAACAGTGCGAAGAGATATTCATTCCAATTGTGTTGTGGTTCTCTAAATCCCATCTATATTTCCTGTCCTCCTATATTGAACTGTGAATCTTTGTTGTTGTTGTTGTTGTTGTTGTTGTTGTTGTTTTAGTAATAGTGGTGGTGGTGGTGTTATTAAAAATATGTTTACTCTCCCTTTCTTCCTTGAAAAGGATCCAAGCTGGCTCACATCATTAAAAGACAGTATCTAAAGCGAAAAACGGGAACGTGGTGGCGCTGTGGGCTAAACCGCAGAATCCTGTGCTGCAGGGTCAGAAGACCAGCAGTTGTAAGATCAAATCCACGTGACTGAGTGAGCTCCTGTCGCTTTGTCCCAGCTCCTCGACAACCTAGCAGTTCAAAAGCATGCAAATGTGAGTAGATAAATAGGTACCACCTCGGTGGGAAGGTAAAATGGCGTTCCCTAGTCACGCTGGCCACGTGGCAACGGAAAACTGTCTTCGGACTAGCGCTGGCTCTACGGCTTGAAAACGGGATGAGCGCCGCCCCCTAGAGTCGGACACGACTGGACTAAAAATGTCAAGGGGAACCTTTACCTTTTTAAAGCGAGAAACAATAAGTATACTAATACTTAATGAAACAAATACCATTCTAAGAAACACTAAACAAATGCAATACCAGAAGCACATTCAAAGCAATAAGGCACAACAATCCATCTGAACGCCACACTCGTGCATCTATGAGTAGTCACTGAGGGAAAGCTTGCCTGAAGAGAAAGGTCTTTGCTTGCAGAAGGACAGCAAAGATGGGGCCCAGCCTAGCTTCCTGTGGGAGGGTGTTTCAAAGTCTGGAAGGACCAACAGAGAAGGCCCTCTCCCATGCCCCATGTCCCCATCAAACCCACCTTTATTTCACTTTATTATGCTTTTATTAAAATTTAAAAAATCAAGAAGTAAAACAAGGGGGATGGGTCTCTATTAAAGGAAGGAATAGATTGTCTCCATTGGTCCTGGGAGCCCAGTAAGTGTGTATGTAGGTTTGTTTTGTTTTTATTTATTTTTTAAACACGAAAACACAGTGGCCAGTAGATTCTTAGTTTTGTAGTAAAAAAAAAAAAGTAACTTTCCCAGTCTTGACCTTTCAAGACTGAGTAGGTTGAATGGTTATGATATTGCCCATGATCAAAGAGTTATTCTCCCCAATACCTAATTCCAAAAGTGACATGCCCCCCACTCCACCCTGTGCACAAAGCCCCCCCCCAATATGTCCTCCTTTGTCCTCCTTGTTGGCTTTCTATGTCCTCCTTTTCATACACATGTATCTGGCAACCCTACCTGAGAGCAGATA